AGCAGAACATAAGTCAGATGCACCTTAAGCATCAATTTTATTGTTACTTTTTAAATATTGAAGAAAAAATATTTAATAAATTAATAATTTAGAAGGAAAAAATTAAGAAAAAATATGAAATAATAAATAATGAATTATTAAAAAAATCATAAAAGCAAATGTTGAAAATAAAAAAATGAATTAAATTTAGAAAGATAGAAGAAAAATAAACACAAGTTCAATAAAAAAGAAAATGAAAATTAAATCAAAAAAAAGCAATAAACAAATTAAAAGAGCTATATTGTTTTAAATTCAATTTTTTAATAAAAATATCACAATTGAAAGCAAATAAGCTGAATTTACCTAAGATAAAGTGTCAAATTTGAGAGATTAGTGCAATTTGCTAAATTAGAACCTAAGATTGATGCACCTTAAGCACCAATTTTATTTTCACTTTTAAAATTTGATTAAAAAATATATAATTAACTACCAGTTTAGAAGGAAAAAATTAAGAAAAAATATGAAATAATAAGTAATTAATGATTAAATAAATAATAAAAGCAAATGTTGAAAATAAAAAAATCACTTAAATTTACAAATATAGAAGAAAAATAAACACAAGTTCAATAAAAAGAAAAAGAAAAGTAAATCAAATAAAAAATAATAAACAAATTAAAAGAGCTATATTGTTTTTTAATTCAATTTTATAACTAATAATAAATTTTATCCAAACAAATAAACTGAATTTACCTAAGATAAAGCGTTAAATTAGAAAGATTAGCGCAATTTGCTAGAGCAGAACTTAAGCCTAATACACCTTATTCACCAATTTCATTCCTACTTTATAAATATTGAAGAAAAAATATATAATTAATTAGTAATTTAGAAGGAAAAAATGAAAAAAAAAATATGAAATAATAAAAATTGAATTAATAAATAATAAAAGTAAATGTTGAAAATAAAAAAATAAATTAATTTTAGAAAGATAGAAGAATAATAAATATAAGTTCAATAAAAAAACAAGAAAAGAAATTCAAATAAAAAACAATAAACAAATTAAAACAGCTATATTGTTTTAAATTCAATTTTATAACTAAAAATATCATTATCCAAAATTCCAAAATGAATAAACTGAATTTACCTAAGATAAAGTGTTAAATTTGAGAGATTAGTGCAATTTGCTAAAGCTGAACCTAAGCCTGAGGCACCTTAAGCACCAATTTTATTTTCACTTTTAAATGTTGAATAAAAAATACATCATTAATTGGTAATTTTAGAAGGAAAAAATGAAGAAAAAATATGAAATAATAAAAATTGAATTAATAAATAAATAATAAAAACAAATGTTGAATATAAAAGAATAAATTAAATTTAGAAAGATAGAAGAAAAATAAGCACCATTTCAATAAAAAAGAAAAAGAAAAATAAATTAAATGAAAAATAATAAACAAATTAAAAGAGTCATAATATTTTAAAATCTATTTTATAACTTAAGTATATCACAATCTAAACAAATAAATTGAATTTACTTAAGATTAAGTGTCAAACTTGAGAGACTAGTGCAATTTGTAAAAGCAGAACCAAAGTTTTATACAATTTATTCACAAATTTCATTGCTACTTTATAAATATTGAAGAGAAAATATAAAATTAATTTGTAATTTAGAAGGAAAAAAATATGAAATAATAAGAAATGAATTAATAAATAATATAAGCAAATGTTGAAAATAAAAGAATGAATTAAATTTAGAAAGATAGAAGAAAAATAAACACCATTTCAATAAAAAAGAAAAAGAAAAATAATAAACAAATTAAAAGATCAATATATATATTGTTTTAAAATAGATTTTATCACTAAAATATCAATCCAAACAAATAAACTGAATTTACTTAAGATTAAGTGTCAAATTCGAGAGATTAGTGCAATTTGCTAAAGCAGAACCTAAGCCCAATGCACCTTAAGCATTAATTTTATTTCTACTTTTTTAATATTGAAGAAAAAATATATAATAAATTAGTAATTTAGTAGGAAAAAATGAAGAAAAAATATGAAATAATAAGAAATCAATTAATGAATAATAAAAGAAAATGTAGTAAATAAAAAAATGATTTAAATTCAGAGAGATAGAAGAAAAATAAACACAAGTTCAATAAAAAAGAGAAAAGAAAATATAATCAAATAAAAAGCAATAAGCTAATTAAAAGAGCTATATTGTTTTAAAATCAATTTTAAAATATCACAATCCAAACAAATAAACTGAATTTACATAAGATAAAGTGCCAAATTTGAGAGATTAGTGCAATTTGCTAAAGCAAAACCTAAGCCTAAAGCACCTTAATCACCAATTTCATTCCTACTTTATAAATATTGAAGAAAAAATATATAATTAATTAGTAATTTAGAAAGAAAAAATATGAAATAATAAGAAATGAATTATTAAATAAATAATAAAACAAATATTGAAAATAAAAAATGAATTAAATTTAGAAATTTTGAAGAAAAATAAAAACTAATTCAATAACAAAGAAAAAGGAAAGAAAAAATAATAAACAAATTAAAAGAGCTATATTGTTTTAAACTAAACATATTACAATTAAAAATAAATAAACTAAATTTACCTAAGATGAAGTGTTAAATTTGAGAGATTTGTGCAATTTGCTAAAGCAGAACCTAAGCCTGATGCACCTTAAGCACCAATTTTATTGTCTCTTTTAAATGTTGAATAAAAAATATATAATTAATTGGTAATTTAGAAAGATAGAAGAAAAATAAAGACAAGTTCAATAAAAAAGAAAAAAAAGTAAATAAAATAAAAAATAATAAATAAAATAAATGAGCTTTTTCGTTTTAAATTCAATTTTATAACTAAAAATATCACAATCCAAACAAATAAACTGAATTTACATAAGAAAAAGTGCCAAATTTGAGAGATTAATACAATTTGCTAAAGCAATACCTAAGCCTGAAGCACCTTTATCACCAATTTAATCGCCACTTTTTAAATATTGAAGAAAATATATTTAGTTAATTAGTAATTTAGTAGGAAAAAATATGAAATAATAATAAATGAATTATTAAATAAAAAATAAAAGCAAAAATTGAAAATAAAAAAATAAGTTAAATTGAAAAATATTGAAGAAAAATAAACACAAATATAAAAAAAAGAAAAGAAAAGTAAATTAAATTAAATAAAAAATTAAAAAACTAATTAAAAGAGTTTTATTGCTTAAAATTGAGTTTATATGTAAAAATATCATAATCCAAAACTAATAAACTGTTTTAATCAATTAGAAGTTTTATAAATAAAAAATGAATAAAAAAAATAATAATTTAAAATTTATCATGAATTTAAAAAATTTAAGATGAAAATTAAATAAAAATAACAAATAAAACATTTGAAAATAAAATGTATTAATTAAAAGAGGGGATAATATCTATTCGAAAAATATTCTCAATGAACATCAAAAATATAAGAAATATTAATTATAATAATAATATTTATAAATTAAATATACTTCAGATCAATATGGAGACTTTGATGAGTTTAAAGTGAAGAGCTTAAAAACTTTTTTTATTTATTTAAATAAATTTAAAAGATATTGATAAAAAAAATAATTACTTCTTCTAATTTTTTATATTTTTTAATCTATAATATCATTTATTTTTTTTTCAAAAATATTTAAAAGCAATTTATGGAAATTTAATCAATTAATTATAAGTGGATAAAAGAGCAAATAAATCATATGAATTTATAAATTTGCTTTTAGTTAGTAATAAAAATCAAAAAAGTAAGTGCAACATTCATTATTAAATTTTGATACTCCTCTATTTAAAATGTGTACTTAAAAAAAAATAGGAACTAAAGATTTGATATAAAGTATAATGAGAATGCGAAATCACTAGAACAAAATGAATTTTTGAGGTATTTAGGTGTATTATAATCTAAAAGCTAAAAAAGAAAAAAATGAATAGGGTTTTATTTAAAAAAATATATGATAATATAAAGTCAAAGAGGATTGATAATAATTAGTCATTTAATATTTACTTTAAACATATTTTTTGAAAAATTTACGTGATTTTAATATAAGTGAAAATAAATAAATTAATTTATACATAACAAAAAAGTAATATTTAAAATTTAATCGAAATTAAATTAAAAGTTTAAAATTTAATATTTTGATGAAATTCCAAACATATAAAAAACATATTAATCTATTTCATTCTTACAAAAAATTATAATTTTGAAGATAAATTTATTTATAGAATAGTTATTATAAATGTCAGTCTACTGATCAGCAGTAAATAGTTTATAAACCACAATTTATTGGTTAGTACCTGCCTCCCATCATTTCGGGACCTAAATCAAATTGGCAACAACCGTAGTAACCATAATTGTAAAGAAAGTAAGCATTGTTAAATTAATCAGTGCATTGCTAAAAGCAGGATTTCATATCTTCAGTGAATAGTATACGAAACATTTTTATTTGTTTTTAAGCAAATTCTTAGAAAGGTTCATTATCACTTACTTCAGGACTTTTAGCTAAAGATTATCCAACTTCATTAGAATTTTACATCTTTCCTTATCTTAGCTTTTTCTAGCATTCAGTTAAAGAAATTAAAATAGCGCAAGTAAAGACCAAAATAATTAAATTTTTTTTCATTTTTTATTTTTAGCAATTTATTTTTTAATTATTAATAATTAATTAATTAATTATAATTTTTGTGATATCTATTCAGCTACCTATTAAAGTAGATATAATATATTAAATATTGTTGTATTTTTTAAATTCTGCCAATCAAAAAAAAAAATAAAGAAGGATTTTTTTAAAAAACGCCTTTTAAAATAGGAATAAAAGATTATTTCGTTTTGGTTAAAGCTTCATTAACACTTATAATGAACTATTTTAAGAAAATCTTTGATAAATAGATTTTTACATCTTTTATTAAAGGTATTTTTTTTAATGCTAAAATTAATAAGTTGATAAAAAACAATTTAATTACTTATATAAAATACAAATTTTTAGAGATATTTTAAATAAGCTTTTATGATTTTATTATAAATTGAATTAATTTTAGCGTTTTTCAACAGTTCAGATATACTGGAGCACATGACTACTTGTACCAGCCTAAATTTCCAGGAATTGGTATATGCACATAAGTTGCACAACAAAAATACTTGCTGTATTCTGGATACCAGTAAACCTAGCCTTTGTATGTCTACTAACATTAGTTAAAGCAATTAGCCTATCCTGCATCAAAGAAGCTACTGGCTGTTGCTTTAACACCAGATTAAATTAGCTCAGTTGCTTTTTTATTCAAAGTTCCATCATTTTTTATGATTAAATCACCATTTTAAACTTAGATAAATTGCTTAGATTCATCATAGGTCTAACTTTCAGCATTTTATAAAGCTTCTTATCTCATAGCTCTAAACTGCTTTGAAGATTAAGCCTATGATAATAGAAGAGCAAAAGTAAAAAGCAATGAAATTATGTTTTTGTGCATGTTTTATAAGCTTTTTCTACTTATTTATATTTGTTTGTGTTTTGCTATAATTAATTTTAAGATTATTGTTTTTGTGGAAGTATAAATATTGTTTTATGAATGCATGTAATTAATTTTAATGAATTTTAATTTTAAAAACGTAAAAATTTTCAGAAAAATACAATTTATATTTGTTTTTTTGCTAAACATTCTAATTATTCTTAAATTATCTAAGTAATCTATCTACTGGGAACAAAATTTTATGTTTAATTATTTCTTTTATTTTCATAATTTTAATGGATAGAAAAATTAGCACTAGTAAGTGAAAAAATATATGTTGATTTATTTATTTACTAATTAATTGATGACTTGAAATTAAAATGTGTAAACTTACTATATTAATTCTAAAAGCATAACAAGATATAATAAAATAGCAATTTAATGACCAATCATAGATTTTTTAAGACACAATTATAATTGTAAACTTTTTGTTATTCATCATACATTTTCAGCTATAATTAATTAATTATTGAATTATTGTTGACCTTATCTGCTCCAAATAACTTATTAAACAAATTTTATCCAATCTACCATATGCTTATTATTTAATAATTAAGCTAACTAATCATAAAATCCATAGAATTTATAAAAAATAGAAAGTAATTTAATTAACAGTTGGTAATAGTTTATTTTTATATAATACAAATATTATTGATATAATCTATTTGCAATAAATTATAACCATACTTTGTATACTAATTTATTAGGTAAATAATGAATTAATTATTTTTATTTGACATAGCATATCAATAATAAAATCTATTGAATCTAATAAAAATAGAAAGTAATTTAATTAACAGTTGGTAATAGTTGTTTTTTAGAATACAAGTATTAATATAATCTTTTTGCGAAAAATAATAATCATACATTTTTATATTAATCAATGAGTGAAATAATAAATTAATTATTTTTAGTTGACATAATCTACAATTTGCAACTTACTATAAAATGCTATTTTATTGAATATTTGCTTTAAATTTAATAGCTTATCAATAATAAAATCCTTACAATCTATTAAAAATAGAAAGTAATTTAATTAACAGTTGGTAATAGTTGTTTTTTAGAATACAAATATTAATATGACCTTTTTGCGATAAATAATAATCATACATTTTATACTAATCTATGAGTTAAATTATGAATTAATTATTTTTGGTTGACGTAATCTACAATTTATAACTTATTATAAGATGCTAATTTATCAACTATTTGATTATAGCTTATCAATAATAAAATCCATACAATCTATTAAAAATAAAAGTTATTTAATTTGCAATTAGTAATAATAATAAACATTCTTTTCCTGCAATTTAATTGCTATTTAATGAGGCAAGTAATTACTTAATTGTTTTTGATTGAAATAATCTTCACCATTTAGCTTGCTATTCAAAAATGATTTTATGAATTATTTATTAATTTACTATTTAAACATTTATTATTTATTTTTATTTATAAAACATCAAAAATATTAAATTTATTACAAAAAAAAAACATATAAAACTAATTAAATTTTGAAAGCGTTTTGGTTTTTTATTAAATTCTAGCCATTTTTCTTAAAAGATTTCCATTTAGAATTAATTTAAAATATAAATTTATATAGAATTATTTTATTAGAAGATATATTTATTTCATATGTTTGCTTTAAAAGATATTAAAGAGATAACTAAAATAAGTATATAAATTCATACAAAAAAATAATATTTGTATTATTATGATTATTATTAGATTTTCTTATTTATATTTCAATTAGTTAATTACTACTTTTTCAACAATTTAAGGTTGCAGTTAAGCAGGTTTGTTAATATGTACCATCATAATTGTTATTTAGAGCAAACTAGCAGCAAAAGTAATTTTTATTCTTATTTTAGTAAAAGACATTTCCACCAATTTTTTTGCATTATCTAAAGCATTCTTATTGCAAGCTATCGAATTGTGTGACACCTTTAGAAGAATCCATATTGCTTTAAATGAGCTATGGTTTAAAATCAGGATCATTATTATACATAATAGCAACAGGTTTGGTTTAACTAAAGAACTGATTATCTTTGTCAGCTTCAAGAGCATGAACTTAATTAGGATCACTTACGATACGCTAAGCTATTTGATCTACTCCTTAAGTTGAGTTTAATTATTTAGGACCTTCTAGAAGTTAATCAGTGAATCCATTAGCATCCTGTTGATCATTTTATCTCAGCTTTTTTTTGGACTCAACAGTAGAGATTAATACAGCGCAAGCAAAAAGTAAAGCGACAAATTTTTTCATTTTTGACAATTAATTTTATTTTTTATATTTTTAATATTATAATGTCTGGATTAATATTTTTGAATTAATAAATTGTTTGTTGGATGCATTTTAATTTTTGTTTAATGGTTTTTTTTTAAGAAAATTTCATTTCAAAAACGTTTTTTATTTTCGAGCTGTAAGAAAAATTACTACGCTATCAAGGAAAAATCAAATTTGCATAAAAACTTAAATCTAATAATTGCTGATAGTTTTTAAAAATAGATAATAATTCAAGCGCCTAATGCTATTTTCTAGAACTTAATACCAAAGATGTTTATATTTACTTTTTTTGTATTTTTAATTCAATAGAGATTTTACATAACAAATTTATAAATTTAATCATCCAACTCATTATAATACTGAAAATAATGAAGTATGATTAAATCGATTTTAATATTGATTAAGCTTCATTTTATATAAAATATCGAATGAAATAAATGTGTTATAATAAAAATTTATTTATAAATTACTTTCTTGTTAATATTTAATGGTCCATTTCTATTCATAAAACTTTTTACTTCAACTAGATTAACTACTACTTTAAAAATAATACTGAAGGTTATAAAATAAATCATTATTTAACTCTATTTGATGAAACATTATATATTATGTTAGTTAAAATAAGAGGTGATAAATAATACACTTTATAAAGCCATTTGATAAAAAAAAAAATTCGTTAATTTTTCAATTTTTTTGTTTTTTTAAACCATTTATTAACTTGCAAAAATATGGTATTTATAAAAATATAAAAAACAATAATCAAATCTATCTATCTATCTATCTATCTATCTATCTATCAATATTTTAGGTTAAAAAATTTTTTTCAATACATTATTTAATAAAAACATATTATATTCTATTATCCTATTATTCAAATATTTCATATTTATTCATTATTTTTGCCACTTGTTTATTATCATCAGAGTTATATTTTAAAGATAACTAATCTTTTTGATTTAAGATATTTGCTTTTTGTTAATTCAATTATTTTTTTAAATATTCTTAAAAACATTATTCTAAATTTTAAATAAAAATTAAATAAAATAAATTTTTAAATTAATAAATAAAAAAACATTAGAAGAATAAAAAACATAAAGAAAAATAAATCAAATAAATAAATATAAAGATCTTTATTGTTTTAAATTAGTTTTATATTTAAAAATATGACAATCCAAAACAAAATAATTCAAATAAATTAAAAGACCTTTATTGTTTTAAATAAATTTTAAAAATTAAGAATATAATTATCCAAAACAAATAAATTCTTTTTACCTATTTTTCTTAACTTACCTATTTTACCTAAGCATAAAATCAAGTGTCAAATATGAGAGATTAGAGCAATTTGCTAATCCAGAACCTAAGCCTGATAAACATTGGTTGTTAATATTATTTCCACTTTTTAAATTTTGAAGAGAAAATAAATAATTAATTAGTAAATCAGAAGGAAAAAATGAAAAAAACTTTTGAAACAATAAGAATTAAAAATAAAAGCAAAAGTTAAAAATAAAATAATGAGTTAAGAGAGAAGAAAAAGTCAGCAACACAATAAAAAGAAAAGAAAAATAAATAAAATAAAATAAAAGATCTTTATTCAAATAAATTCTTTTTACCTAAGTTGAAGTGTCAAATTTGAGAGATTAGTGCAATTTGCTAAACCAGAACCTAAACCTGAAGCACCAATTGCACCAATTTTATTTTTTCTTTTTAAATATTTAAGAAAAAATATATAATTATTAGTTAATTATATGGAAAAAATGAAGAAAACATATGAAATAATAAGATTAACAAAAGCAAAAGTTAAAAATAAAATAATGAGTTAAATTCATAAAGAAAGAAGAAAAAGCAAGTACAATAAAAGAAAAAGAAAAATAAATTAAAAGATCTTTATTGTTTTAAATTAGTTTTTATAATTAAAATACCACGATCCAAAATAAATAATTTCTTTTTACGAAAGGTTAAGTGTCAAATTTGAAAGATTAATGAAATTTCCTAAACCAGAACCTAAGCCTGATGCCTCTTCATTACCAATTTTATTTTAACTTTTTAAATATTGAAGAAAAAATATATAATTAATTAGTTAATTCATTAGAAGGAAAAAATGAAGAAAAAATAAGAAATAAAAAGATTAATTTATAATAATAAAAACGAAAATCGAAAATAAAATAATGAGTTAAATTAACAAAGAAAAAAAAAATCAATCAGGCATAATAAAATGAAAAAGAAAAAGAAATCAAATAAATTAAAGATCTTTATTATTTTAAATTAATTTTTACAATTAAAATATCACAATCCAAAACAAATAAAATCTTTTTACCCAAAATGAAGTGTCAAATTTGAGAGATTAGTGCAATTTTTTAAACCAGAAAGTAAGCATGATGCTCCAATTGGACTAAATTATTCCTCAAGGTTAAGTGTCAAATTTGAGAGATTAGTGCAATTTGCTAAACCAGAACCTAAGCCTGAAGCACCAATTAACCCAATTGTATTTTCACTTTTTAAATATTGAAGAAAAATAATTAGTTAGTTAATTAATTAATTAGAAGGAAAAAACAAAGAAAAAATATGAAATAATAAGATTTGTTAATAATAAAAGAATATATAAGTAGAAAATAAATTAATGAGTTTTATTAGAAGAAAAACGAAAAAAGAAAACAAGTGAGAAAGCACAATAAAATGAGAAAGAAAAATATAAAAAATATAATAAAAGATCTTTATTGTTTTAAATTAGTTTTTATAATTAAAATATCACATCCAAAACAAATAAATTCTTTTTACTTAAGTATAAGTGTTAAATTTGAGAGATTAGTGCAATTTTTTAAAGCAGAACCTAAGCCTGAAGCACCTTCATCACCAATTTGATTTTCACTTTTTAAATATTGAACAAAAAATATAAAATTTACAAGTTAATTAATTAATTAGAAGGAAAAAACAAAGAAAAAATGAGAAATAATATGATTTTTTAATATAAAAATAAAAGTTGAAAATAAATTAATGAGTTTTATTAGCAAAGAAATAGAAAAAAAACAAGTAAGAAAGCACAATAAAAAGAAAAAGAAATCAAATAAATTAAAAGATTATTATGGTTTTAAATTAGTTTTTATAATTAAAATATCACAATCCAAAAAAAATTAATTCTTTTTACCAAAGGTTAAGTGTCAAATTTAAGAGATTAGTGCAATTTGCTAAAGAAGAACCTAAACCTGATGTACCAATTGAACCAATTTTATTTTTTCTTTTTAAATATTGAAGAAAAAATATAATTAGATGGAAAAAATAAAGAAAAAATATCAAGATTAATTAATAATAATAATAATAATATCGAAAATTTAAAATAAAATAATGAGTTAAATTAATAAAAAAGCAAAATAAAAAGAAAAAGAAATCAAATAAATTAAATGATCTTTATTTTTTTAAATTAGTTTTTATATTTAAAATATCACAATCCAAAACAAATAAATTATATTTACCCAAGATTAAGTGTCAAATTTGAGAGATTAGTGCAATTTTTTAAACCAGAACCTAAGCCTAATCCACCTTCGATGCCAATATCATTATCACTGTTTAAATATTTAAGAAAAAAATTATTTTATAAATTTGAAGGAAAAAATGAAGAAAAAATATGAAATAATAAGATTAATTAATAATAAAATTGAAAATTGAAAATAAAATAATGAGTTAAATTAACAAAGAAAAAAGAAAAAAAGCAAGCAAGCAGAATAAAAAGAAAAAGAAAAAATATATCAAATAAATTAAAAGATCTTTTTTGTTTTAAATTAGTTTTTATAATTAAAAAATAACAATCTAAAACAAATAAATTCTTTTTACGAAATGTGAAATGTCAAATTTGAGAGATTAATGCAATTTTATAAAGCCGAAACTAAGCCTGATACCCCTTCATCACTAATTTTATTTTTACTTTTTAAATATTGAACAAAAAAAAAATAAATTGGTTATTTAGAAGGAGAATATGAAGAAAGAATAATAAAATTAATAAATTTGCAAAAGAGATAAAAATAAAAATCCAGTAAAATAATAAGAAAAAGAAAAATAAATTGAAGATCTTTGTTGTTTTAAATTAGTTTTTATAATTAAAATATCACAATCCAAAACAAATAAATTCTTTTTACTGAAGGTTAAGCTTCAAATTTTAGAGATTAATGCAATTTCCTATACCAGAACCTAAGCCTGAAGCACCTACATCATCAATTTAATTGTAACTTTTTAAATATTCAACAAAAAATATATAATTTATTAATTAGAAGTAAAAAATGAAGAAAAAATATGAAATAATAAGATTTGTTTATAATAAAAGTAAAAGTTAAAAATAAATTAATGAGTTTTATAAGCAAATAAAAAAGAAAAAAAAAAGTAAGTAAGCGCAATAAAAATAAAAAGAAAAATAAATCAAATAAATTAAACTATTTTATTGTTTTAAATAAGTTTTTATAATTAAAATATCACAATCCAAAACAAATAAATTCTTTTTACGAAAGATTAAGTTTCAAATTTGAGAGATTAGTGCAATTTGCTAAACCAAAACCTAAGCCTGAAGCACCTTCATCACCAATTATATTTTTACTTTTTAAATATTGAAGAAAAAATATATAATTAATTAGAAGGAAAATATGAATAAAAAATATGAAATAATTAGATTAGTTAATAATAAAAGTAAAGGCTAAAAATAAATTAATGAGTTTTATTAGAAAAGAAATAAGAAAAAGTAAGTAAGCAAGCACAATAAAAAGAAAAATAAATAAATAAATTAAAATATCTTTGTTATTATTTTATAATTAAAATACCACAATCCAAAACAAATAAATTCTTTTTACTTTAGGTCAAGTACCAAATTTGAGAGATTAGTGCAATTTCCTAAATCAGAACCTAAGCCTGAAGTGCCTTCATCACCAATTTTATTATAACTTTTTAAATTTTGAAGAATAAATACTTTATTAATTAGTTAATTAATTAAAAGGAAAAAATGAAAAAAAAATATATTTGCTAATAATAAAAGTAAAGGCCGAAAATAAATTAATGAGTTTTATTAGCAAAGAAATAAGAATAAGTAAGCAAGCAAGCATAATAAAAAGAAAAAAAATCAAATAAATTAAAAGATCTTTAGTGTTTTAAATTAAAATATCACAATAAAAAACAAATAAATTCATTTTACGAAAGGATAAGTGTCAAATTTGAGAGATTAGTGCAAATTCCTAAACCATAACATAAGAATAAAGCACCTTCATCAGCAATTTTATTGCAACTTTTTAAATATTGAAGAAAAAAATTATAATTAATTAGTTAATTAATTAATTAGAAGGAAAAAATGAAGAAAAAATATGAAATAATAAATAAGATTAATTAATAATAAAAGCAAAATGAAAATAAAATAATGAGCTTTATTAGCAAAGAAAAAAGCAAACGAGCTAAATAAAAGAAAAAAAAATAAATAAATAAAAAAATCTTTATTTTTTTAAATTAATTTATTTTTTTTTTGTTTTTTTTGTTTTAATTATTTATATCACAATTCAAAACAAATAAATTCTTTTTACCTAAGATCAAATATCAAATTTGAGAGATAAGTGCAATTTGCTATACCATAACCTAAGCCTGATGCACCTTCATTGCCAATTTTATTGCTTCTTTTTAAATTTTGAAGAAAAAAATATAATTAATTAGAAGGAAAAAATGAAGAAATAATAAAAGCAAAAATTTAAAATAAAATAATAAGTTAAATTACAAAGAAAAAAGAAAAAAAGCAAGAAATCAAGTACAATAAAAACAAAAAGAAAAATAAATCAAATAAATAAATAAAAAGATCTTTATTGTTTTATATTAGTTTTTATAATTTAAATATCATAATCCAAAACAAATAATTTTTTTTTACCTAAGGTTAAGTTTCAAATTTGAGAGATAAATGCAATTTCTTATACCATAGCCGATATCTGATGCACCTTCATCACCAATATAATTGTTACTTTTTAAATTTTGAAGAAAAAATACATAATTTATTAATTAGAAGAAAAAATATGAAATAAAAAGATTAGTTAATAATAATAAAAGCAAAAGATGAAAATTAAATGATGAATTAAATTAACAAAGAAAAAAAAAAAAAAAACAAGCAATCTAGCTTAACAAAAAGAAAAATAAACCAAATAAATTAAAAAATTTTTATTATTTTAAATTAGTTTTTATAACTAAAATATCACAATCCAAAACAAAGAAATTCGCTTTACTGAAGTAGAAGTGTCAAATTTGAGAGATTAGTGCAATTTGCTAAACCAGAACCTAAGCCTGAAGCACCTTCATTACTAATTTGATTTTCACTTTTTAAATATTGAAGAAAAAAAGTATAATTAATTTGTTAATTAATTAGATAGAAAAAATGAAATAATAATATTAAATAATAAGATTAGTTAATAATAATAAATGCAAAAATTTAAAATAAAAAAATGAGTTAAATTAACATAGAAAAAGAAAAAAAGCAAGCAATCAAGCACAATAAAAATAAAAATAAAAATAAAAAATAAATTTAAGAAATTAAAGATCTTTATTGTTTTAAATTAGTTTTTATAAATAAAATATCACAATCAAAAATAAATAAATTCATTTTACCTAAGGTCAAGTATCAAATTTGAGAGATTAATGCAATTTGATAAACCAGAACCTAAACCTGTAGCATGATCAATACCAATATTATTTTATCTTTTTAGAAGGAAAAAATATTGAAGAAAATTTCAAAAAGTAAATTAATTTTATAAATAAATTGAAAGTTAAATATATAATAAATAATATTTTAAAGAGCTGAAATTAAAATATGTAGAAATTATAATAATATTAATATTTATAAATTAAATATACCTCAAGTCAATATGGAGAACCTAATGAGATTAAAGCGAAGAGTTTAAAAACTTTTTATATTAAAAAAAATAATTTAAAGCCTTTTCATAAAAATAAATGATTACTTCTTTTAAATTTTTATATCTTTTAATCTATTATATCATTTATTTTTTTTCAAAAATATTGAATTTCAATTTATCCAAGTTTAATTAATAAAAAATAGATTAAAAAAAAATTATTTGAATTTATAAATTTGCTTTTTATAAAGAGATATACAGCAATAACTCGAACCTGGAACCATCGAATAAGCCATGATTCAAGGAGGGGATTAAGTATTATTTATAAAATAAAAATTTAAAAAATGCCTTACAGAAGAATAAAGAATATATTTAAGTGGGTAAATATATGAAATATTTTTATTATTGTAGTAAAAATAAAAAATATAAAAGTTAAAACAGAAAAAAAATGAATAGGGGTTTTATTTTAATAAATATATGATTATATTAAGTCAAAGAAGATTAGAGATATTAATTCATTTAAAATTTACTTTAAACATATTTTTGAAAATTTATATGATTTTTATTTAAATAAAAAGTAAATGATTTTACATAATAAAAAAATTAATATTTAAAAATTAATCGAATTAAAGTTTAAAATTTTGATGAAATTCTAAACATATAAAAAACATATTAATCTATTTCATTCATACAAAAAATTATAATTTTGAAGTTAACTTTATTTATAGAATAGTTATTATAAATGTCAATATACTGATCAGCAGTAAATAGTTTATAAACCACAATTTATTGGTTAGTATTTGCCTCCCATCATTTCGGAACCTAAATCAAATTGGCAACAACCGTAGTAACCATAATTGTAAAGAAAGTAAACATTGTTAAATTAATCAGTGCATTGCTAAAAGCAAGATTTCATATCTTCAGTGAATAGTATACGAAACATTTTTATTTGTTTTTAAGCAAATTCTTAGAAAGGTTCATTATCACTTACTTCAGGACTATTAGCTAAAGATTATCCAACTTCATTAGAATGTTACATCTTTCCTTATCTTAGCTATTTCTAGCATTCAGTTAAAGAAATTAAAATTGCACAAGTAAAGACCAAGATAATTAAATTTTTTTTCATTTTTTTATTTTTAGCAATTTATGTTTTTAATTATTAATAATTAATTAATTATAATTTTTGTGATTAGATAGTCAGCTAATTATTAAAGTAGATATACTATATTAAATATTGTTGTATTTTTTACATTCAGCCAATCAAAAAAAATAAAGAAGGATTTTTTTATAAAAACGCATTTTAAAATAATGATAAAAGATTATTTTGTTTTGGTTACAACAAGCTTCATTAACGCTTTCAATGAACTATTTTAAGAAAATCTTTGATAAATAGATTTTTACATCTGTTTATTAAAGGTATAATTTTAATAATAAAATTAATAAGTTGATAAAAAACAATTTAATTACTTATATAAAATACAAATTTTTAGAGATATTTTAAATAAGCTTTTATGATTTTATTATAAATTGAATTAATTTTAGTGTTTTTCAACAGTTCAGATATACTGGAGCACATGACTACTTGTACCAGCCTAAATTTCCAGGAATTGGTATATGCACATAAGTTGCACAACAAAAATATTTGCTGTATTCTGGATACCAGTAAACCTAGCCTTTGTATGTCTACTAACATTAGTTAAAGCAATTAGCCTATCCTGCATCAAAGAAGCTACTGGCTGTTGCTTTAACACCAGATTAAATTAGCTCAGTTGCTTTTTTATTCAAAGTTCCATCATTTTTTTTGATTAAATCACCATTTTAAACTTAGATAAATTGCTTAGATTCATCGTAGGTCTAACTTTCAGCATTTTATAAAGCTTCTTATCTCATAGCTCTAAACTGTTTTGAAGATTAAGCATGTGAGAATAGTAGAGCAAAAGTAAAAAGCAATGAAATTATGTTTTTGTGCATGTTTAATAAGCTTTTTCTACTTATTTATATTTGTTTTTGTTTTTCTATAATTTATTTTAAGATTATTGTTTTTGTGGAAGTATTAATATTGTTTTATGAATGCATATAATTAATTTTAATGAATTTTAATTTTAAAAACGTAAAAATTTCAGAAAATACAATTTATATTTGTTTTTTTGATAAACATTCTAACTATCTTAAATTATCTAAATAATCTACTGGGAACAAAATTTTATGTTTCTTTTATTTTCATAATTTTAATGGATAGAAAAATTAGCACTAGTAAGTGAAAAAAATATATTGATTTATTTATTTACTAATTAATAGTTGAATTGAAATTAAAATATGTAAACTTACTTTATTAATTCTAAAAGCATAACAAGATAATAATAAAATAGTAATTGAATGAGCAACGATAGATTTTTTAAACATAATTATAATTGTAAAATTTTTGTTATTCATCATACATTTTCAGCTAATTAATTATTGAATTCTGGTTGACCTTATCTGCACCATCTAACTTATTAAATAAATGTTATCCAATCAACCATTTGCTTATATTTTAACAATTAAACTGAGTCATCATAAAATCCTTAGAAACTATAAAAAATAGAAAGTAATTTAATTAACAGTTGGTAATAGTTTATTTTTTAGAATACAAATATTATTGATATAATCTATTTGCAATAAATTATAATCAGACTTTTATGCTAATTTATTAGGCAAGTAATGAATTAATTATTTTTATTTGACGTAATCTACACAATATAACTTACTATAAAAATTCTATTTCATCTAATATTTATTTTTTAATAGCTTATCAATAATAAAATCTATAGAATCTAATAAAAATAGAAAGTAATTTAATTTAACAGTTGGTAATAGTTGTTTTTTAGAAAACAAATATTAATATACTCTTTTTGTGATAAATAATAATCACACATTTTATAATAATCAATGAGTTAAATAATAAATTAATTATTTTTGGTTGACATAATCTACAATTTGCAACTTACTATAAAATGCTATTTCATTGAATATTTGCTTTAAATTTAATAGCTTATCAATAATAAAATCCTTACAATCTATTAAAAATAGAAAGTAATTTAATTAAAAGTTGGTAATAGTTGTTTTTTAGAATACAAATATTAATATAATCTTTTTGCGATAAATAATAATCATACATTTTATACTAATCTATGAGTTAAATAATCTACACTAAAAACTTAATAAAAAAACGCTGATTTATCAACTATTTGATTATAGCTTATCAATAATAAAATCCATAAAATCTATTAAAAATAAAAGTAATTTAATTTACAATTGGTTATAATAAATATTTTTTTTATGCTATATAATGATGCAAGTAATTACTTAATTATTTTTGATTGAAATAATCTTCACCATTTAATTTGCATTTCAAAATGATTTTATGAATTATTTATTAATTTAATATTTAAAAATTTATTATTTATTTTTATTTATTAAACATCAAAAATATTAAATTCATTACAAAAAAACTCATAAAACTAATAAAATTTTGAAAGTGTTTAGGTTTTTTTTAATTCTAGCCATTTTTTCTTATAAGATTTATATTTAAATATAATTTAAAATATAAATTTATATAGAATTATTTTATTAGAAGATATATTTATTTCATATGTTTGCTGTAAAAGATGTTAAAGAGTTACATCAAACAAGTATACAAATTCATACTAAAAAAATATATTTGTATTATTATGATTATTATTAGATTTTCTTATTTGTATTTCAATTAGTTAATTAGTATTCTTTCAACAATTTAAGGTTGCAGTTAAGCAGGTTTGTTAGTAAGTACCATCATAATTGTTATTTAGAGCAAACTAGCAGCAAAAGTAATTTTTATTCTTATTTTAGTAAAAGACATTTCCACCAATTTTTTTGCATTATCTAAAGCATTCTTATTGCAAGCTATCGAATTGTGTGACACCTTTAGAAGAATCCATATTGTTTTAAATGAGCTATGGTTTAAAATCAGGATCATTATTATACATAATAGCAACAGGTTTAGTTTAAATGAAGAACTGATTTTCTTTGTCAGCTTCAAGAGCATGAACTTAATTGGGATCACTTACGATACGCTAAGCTATTTGATCTACTCCTTAAGTTGAGTTTAATTATTTAGGACCTTCTAGAAGTTAATCAGTGAATCCATTAGCATCCTGTTGATCATTTTATCTCAGCTTTTTTTTGGACTCAACATAAGAGATTAGAACAGCGCAAGCAAAAAGTAAAGCAACCAATTTTTTCATTTTTGACAATTAATTTATTTTTATATTTTTAATATTATAATATATTTAATATTTTTGAATAAATAAATTGTTTGTTGGATGTATTTTAATTTTCATTTAATGGTTTTTTTTTAAGAAAATTTTCATTTCAAAAACGTTTTTTATTTTGAGCTGTAAGAAAAATTACTTCGCTATCGAGGAAAAATCAAATTTGCATAAAAAAATTAAATCTAACAATTGCTGATAGTTTTTAAAAATAGATAATAATTCAAGTGTTTGATAATATTTTCTGGAACTTAAAACAAAAGATGTTTATATTTTTCTTTTTTTATATTTTTAAATAAATAGATATTTTAAATGCAAATTTATAAATTTAATCATTCTCATCATAATAATGAAATTATTAAAGTATGATTAAATGGATTTTAATATTGGTTGAGCTTCATGTTATACAAAATATCGAATGAAAAAAGTGCGTTATTATAAAATGTATTTATAAATTACTTTATAGTTAATATTTAATGGTTAATTTCCATTCATATAATTTTTATTTTAACGAGATTACTGAAGGCTATTAAATAAATTATTATTTAACTCCATACATGAAAAATTAAATATTATTTTAGCTAAAATAAGTGGTGAGAATTATTAAATTTTATAAAACCATTTAATAAAAATAAAAAATAAAATTTTAATATATTAAACAAATATATTTAGATTATTAAACATACATGAGTTAGTCCATTTGAAAACAATGTATAATAATAATTTGAGATATCGTAAATCATGATATCATTAATGGTTGGTGATATTTCAAAAGTATGAACACCAAAATATCTGTTTTTAAAATGCAAATATATTATTATTTAAATTTTTTTTTCTCTAAGATCCAAATAAATTAAATTTATTCTTTTTTGAAGAAATCAAGATATATCACATTAAGTTTATTGATGATTTATGCCATATTATCTCAAACAAAAAACTTATAAAAATTTAATTATTGAAAATATATCTTTACTTAAATTAAGAATTTTTTTTTTAAATTAAAAATAAATGTTAACAAAAATTTTAAAATGATAAAATCTTTAATCATCATATTTTTTAAATAGTGATTCTTCTGATAGAAAGTAAAAATTGATTGGACTCATAAAAAGAGCTTACAGTCTTGGAATTAACTTCTTTGACATAGCTGAAGTTTATGGCTAAGGTGAAGGGGAAATCTAATTTGGAGAAGCCTTCAAAGCTCTAGGAGCTCCTAGATAAGAATTAGTCATTTCTTCTAAGATCTTCTGGGCAGTTCCACCAACTTCAGTTGATATTAAAAAATTTAATTAAATTGGTTTATCTCGCAAGTATATTCTTGATAGCCAATTTAAAGAGACTTCAATTAGACTACTTAGATATAATCTTTTGCCATAGATTTTATGAAGATATTCCCTTAGAAGAAACTGCTAAAGCTTATAACGATTTAATCGAATAAGGACTTATTCACTACTGGGGAACATCAAGATTAAATATTATCCCTCCTGTTTCTGAACAACCTTAATATAGCATGATTATAAGAGAAAAATTTGAAGTTGAATACAGAAGACTTTTTGACAAGTACAAATTAAGAGCTACAGTTTGGAGTCCTCTCTACAACAATATGTTAACTGGTAAATACAATTATGACACTATTCCTAAAGGATCAATATTATAAGAATTTAAAGATAACATTTATATAAATAGAATAAATAATTAGCATTTTGCTGATAACAAAAAAGAAATATTGATAAAGCTCCTAAATGCTCTAGGAAACATTGCTAAGAGATTAAAATGCACTTAATCATAATTAGAAATGGCTTGGGTTCTTGCAAATACCAATTACTACTGCAATCACAAGTGCTATTAGACATAAATAGCTTGATGACATAGTTAAAACTGTGTAGGTTTTCAAATAAATAACGCCTGAAATGAACAAAGAAATAAATGAAATTTTAGGAAAAAAGCTTATTATTGGAATGAATGTTAAAACACTTGAAATAAAAAAAATACAAGAAGATATTTAATGATTATCAAAAATAAACATTGATATTTAGTTTAGATTAATTTTGTTAGAAATTTTTTATTTTATATTTTCAATCACCTTAATTAACTTCATTTATAATGTGCTTTCTTATTTGATTGTTAAGATTTAAAAAAATATTTGACAATTAAATTCTATTTCTATCTATTGAAATTAATAATAAGCTATTTTCTAGATAAATAGCTAATAAATAAATAATAGTTAAGTTATTTATCTTTATAAAAATAGTTAAAAATAATTTTAAACTTTTCTATTTATTTTTGATAAAAGATAAAATTTAATTTTGAATTTTATATTTAATTAATTATTTATAAAATAGATATTTAATTTATCCAAATAAAATTTAAAATAAAAAGTTTGTTCTCATATTCAAATTTTTAAAAAAATGTAATTAAACGAAAAAGAATTATTAAAGAAATTTTAGTTTATGAATATAAAATTTATCATTATGTCAACAAATTAATTACTTTAATTAATTAATTACTTATCCAAATTTATTATTTTAATCTCATATTCAAATTTTTAAAAAAATGTAATCAAACGAAAAAGAATTATTAAAGAAATTTTAGTTTATGAATATAAAATTTATCATTATGTCAACAAATTAATTACTTTAATTAATTAATTACTTATCCAAATTTATTATTTTAATCTCATATTCAAATTTTTAAAAAAATGTAATCAAACAGAAAAGAATTATTAAAGAAAGATTTTTTATTTCAGAACTCCTTTAATTAATTTGTAAACAATTCTTCTAGAAATTTATTTATCAATTATGTAAATATGTTTATTTATCAATCAAATATATTAATGATTAAATTATAAAAATAAAAAAACAATAAATTATAATTTAATAGCTACTCTAACATTTAACTCATACATAAGCATAAATAAATAAATGGAATATAGATTTTTAGGAAACACTGGTCTCAAAGTCTCTGCTATTGGCTTCGGAAATGTGTTAAATAGTGATAATCCTGATAGATTACAAATAACGATTGAACTCGTTAAGAGAGCTTATAGTCTTGGAATTAATTTCTTTGACACAGCTGAATTTTATGGATATGGAGAAGGTGAAATTTAATTTGGAGAAGCCTTCAAAGCTCTAGGAGCTCCTAGACAAGAGTTAGTCATTTCTTCTAAGATCTTTTGGGGAGCTCCACTAACTTTACCTGATGTTAAAAAAATCAACTAAATTGGTTTATCTCGAAAGCATATTTTCGAAGGAGTGAAAAATAGTTTAAAGAGACTTCAATTAGACTACTTAGATATTGTCTTTTGTCATAGATTTGATGAAGATACTCCCTTAGAAGAAACTGCTAAAGCCTTCAACGACTTAATCGGATAAGGACTTATTCACTACTGGGGAACCTCAGAATGGTCAGCTAGCGAGATCTTTGAAGTAAGAGAAGTTTGTGCTCGATTAAATCTCACCCCTCCTGTTACTGAACAACCATAATATAATATGTTGGTTAGAGATAGATTTGAAGTTGAATATGGAAGACTCTTTGATAATTTCAGATTAGGATCTACAGTTTGGAGTCCTCTCTGCAGCGGTATCTTGACTGGAAAGTATAATGATGGAACTCTTCCTGCTGGTTCTAGATTAAAAGAGTTCATGGACAATTTTATTATGAAAGCAATTTATAATTAGTTCTTTGCTGAAGATAAGAGAGAAAAGCTATTAAAGCTCCTAAATGACCTTGCAAATGTAGCGAAGAAGTTGGGATGCACTTAGTCATAATTAGCTATGGCTTGGATTCTAGCAAATCAAGATGTTTCTTCTGCAATTACAGGTGCTACTAGACCTGAATAGCTTGATGATACAGTTAAATCATTGTAATTTATCAAAAAAATAACACCTGAAGTGAACAAAGAAATAGACCAGATATTAGGAAACAAACCCATGCCTGGATAGGATGTTAAAGCATTTGGACTTAAAAAAAACACTAGAAGAGAATTAATGATTATTAAAAATTAATATTGAAATACAATTTATAAATTGAATGATTTCTGTTCTATTTTTTGTTTTTTAAAAAGACATTTTATTTTCTAATCTGATCTGATTAAGATATATGTTTTATTAAAAACTATATGATGATTAATATAATTGCATTAAATAAAGTTAAAAAACTAAAGATATATATATTGATTGATTGAATTTATCAAAACATCTAAATATAATATCATATATTCATCCACCACTATAACACCATGTGCGAGTATGTATGTATGTATGTATGTATGTATGTATGTATGTATGTATGTATGTATGTATGCACCAATTTTGTTTCCACTTTTTAAATGTTGAAGAAGAAATATATAATTAATTAGTTAATTCATTAGAAGGAAAAAATGAAGAAAAAATATGAAATAATAAGATTAATTAATAATAAAACCAAAAATTAAAAATTAAAATAATGAGTTAAATTAATAAAGAAATAAGAAAAAGTAAGGAAGCACAATTAAAAGCAAAAAAATAGAAATCAAATAAATTAAAAGATATTTATTGTTTTAAATTAGTTTTTTCAATTATAAATATCATAATCCAAAACAAATAAAATCTTTTTACCTAAGTTCAAGTGTCAAATTTGAGAGATTAGTGCAATTTGCTAAAGTAAGCCTGATGCACCTTCATCACCAATATGATTATCACTTTTTAAATATCGAAGAAGAAATATATAATTCATTAGAAGGAAAAAATGAAGAAAAAATATGAAATAATAAGGTTAATTAATAATAAAACCAAAAATTAAAAATAAAATAATGAGTTAAATTAACAAAGAAATAAGAAAAAGTAAACAAGCACAATAAAAAGAAAAAAAATATAAATCAAATAAATTAAAAGATCTTTATTGTTTTAACTTAGTTCTTTTAATTATAATTATCACAATCCAAAACAAATAAACTCTATTTACTTAAGGTCAAGTTTCAAATTCTAGAGTTTAGTGCAATTTGCTAAACCAGAACCTAAACCTGATGCACCCATTGCACCAATTCGATTTTTACTTTTTAAATATTGAAGAAGAAATATATAATTAATTAGTTAATTCATTAGAAGGAAAAAATAACGAAAAAATATGAAATAATAAGATTAATTTATAATAAAAAATATAATAATGAGTTAAATTAACAAAGAAAGAAGAAAAACTAAACAAGCTCAATAAAATAGAATAGAAAATAAATCAAATAAATTAACAGATTTTTATTGTTTTAAATTAGTTTTTTTAATTATAAATATCGCAATCAAAAACAAAAAAACTCTTTTTACTAAAGGAAAAGTTGCAAATTTGAGAGATTAGTGCAATTTGCTAAAGCAGACCCTAAGCCTGATGCACCCATTGAACCAATTTTATTCCAACTTTTTAAATATTGAAGAAGAAATATATAATTAATTAGTTAATTCATTAGAAGGAAAAAATGAAGAAAAAATATGAAATAATAAGATTAATTAATAAAAAAAGTAAAAATTAAAAATATTATAATTAGTTAAATTAAAAAGAAAGAAGAAAAAGTAAGCACGCACAATAAAAAATAAAAAAAATATAAATCAAATAAATTAAAAGATCTTTATTGTTTTAAATTAGTTTTTTCAATTATAAATTTCATAACCCAAAAACAAATAAACTCTTTTTACCTAAGGTCAAGTTTCAAATTCGAGAGTTTAGTGCAATTTGCTAAAGCAGAACCTAAGCCTGATGCACCTTTATCATCAATTTTGTTTTCACTTTTTAAATATTGAAGAAGAAATTTATAATTAATTAGTTAATTCATTAGAAGGAAAAAATGAAGAAAATATATGAAATAATAAGATTAATTAATAATAAAAAATATAATAATGAGTTAAATTAACAAAGAAATAAGAAAAATTAAGCAAACAAAACAAAAAGAAAAAACATGTAAACCAAATAAATTAAAAAATATTTATTGTTTTAAATTAGTTTTTTCAATTATATATATCATAATCCAAAATAAATAAACTATTTTTACCTAAGGTCAAGTGTCAAATTTGAGAGATTAGTGCAATTTGCTAAAGCAGAAACTAAGCCTGATGCACCCATTACACCAATTTGATTTCCACTTTTTAAATATTGAAGAAGAAATATATAATTAATTTGTTAATTAGAAGGAAAAAATGAAGATAAAATATGAAATAATAAGATTAATTAATAATAAAATATATAATTATAAGTTAAATTAACAAAGAAAGAAGAAAAATTAAACAAGCACAATAAAAAGAAAAAGAAAATAAATCAAATAAATTAAAAGATCTTTATTGTTTTAAATTAGTTTTTTTAATTTTAAATATCACAATCCAAAACAAATAAACTCTTTTTACTAAAGGACAAGTTCCAAATTTTAGAGATTAGTGCAATTTGCTAAAGCAGAACCTAAGCCTGACGCACCAATTGCACCAATTTTATTCCAACTTTTTAAATATTGAAGAAGAAATTTATAATTAATTAGTTAATTCGTAGGAAAAATGAAGAAAAAATAAGAAATAATAAGATTAATTAAAAATAAAACCAAAAATTAAAAATAAAATAATGAGTTAAATTAACAAAGAAATTAGAAAAAGTAAGCAAACACAATAAAAAGAAAAAAAATATAAATCAAATAAATTAAAAGGTATTTATTGTTTTAAATTAGTTTTTTTAATTATAAATATCACAATCCAAAGCAAATAAACTCTTTTTACCGAAGGTCAAGTTTCAAATTCGAGAGTTTAGTGCAATTTGCTAAAGCTAAACCTAAACCTGATGCACCCATTGCACCAATTTGATTTCCACTTCTTAAATATTGAAGAAGAAATATACAATTAATTAGTTAATTCATTAGAAGGAAAAAATGAAGAAATAATATGAAATAATAAGATTAATTAATAATAAAAAATATTAATTACGAGTTAAATTAACAAAGGAAGAAGAAAAAGTAAGCAAACACAATAAAAAAAAATAAATAAATCAAATAAATTAAAAGATCTTTATTGTTTTAAATTAGTTTTTTTAATTATAAATATCACAATCCAAAGCAAATAAACTCTTTTTACCGAAAGTCAAGTTCCAAATTTGAGAGGTTAGTGCAATTTGCTAAACCAGAACCTAAGCCTGATGCACCTTCATCACCAATTTGAGAAACAATTAATTAATCAAAAAGTTTATAATTAATTAATTCAAAAAAAAAATCTAAACAAAGAAAAATAAGAAAACTGGGAAAATAAACTTTACTTTTGCAAGCCAATCAACTACTTCACTTCCCAAAGCTCACTCTGAAAAAGTTATACTCAGTATTTAATGCAAATACCTTAGTATTAACTGCTACTCTTCAGTATATAATGCATATACCACATAGAGTAGTGAAGACTGGGCTTTTAGTACTGGAGTAATGAATGGTTTCTTTTCAATGAAACTCATAATATTCAAGAATTCTATATTAATACATAAATAGATAAATAAAAGTATAAAATTAACATAAAATATAATACCTAAGATGTATTCTGAGTGCATTTATATGTGCGAGTATTTCCATTTCCATTTCCATCACCAATTTGATTGTATCTTTTTAAATATTGAAGAAGAAATATATAATTAATGAGTTAATTCATTAGAAGGAAAAAATATGAAATAATAAAACCAAAAATTAAAAATAAAATAATGAGTTAAATTAACAAAAAATAAAGAAAAAGCAAGCAAACACAATAAATAGAAAAAAAAATATAAATCAAATAAATTAAAAGATCTTTTTTTGTTTTAATCTAGTTTTTTAATTATAAATATCACAATCCAAAACAAAAAAACTCTTTTTACAGAAGAGAAAAAATTAAATAAACTTCAAAAATTCATAAAGAAATATACAAACTAATAAATAATAAATAAATAAAACAAATAAATAAATTTATAAATTTAATCTTTATGTTTAATTTTAAGAAACATTTCTGAGTGTATAAATACATGTATTTATATGCGAGTATATTATTATTATTATCACCAATTTTATTTTCGCTTTTTAAATATTGAAGAAGAAATATATAATTCATTAGAAGGAAAAAATAAAGAAAAAATATGAAATAATAAGGTTAATTAATAATAAAACCAAAAATTAAAAATAAAATAATGAGTTAAATTAACAAAGAAATAAGAAAAAGTAAACAAGCACAA